GGTCGGTAGGTCGGTCGGTAGGTAGGTCGGTAGGTAGGTCGGTAGGTAGGTAGGTAGGTAGGTAGGTAGGTAGGTAGGTAGGTCGGAAGGCAGCTGGGCAGGTTAGCCAGTCAGTCAATCAGCCGGCCAGCCCGTCAGTCAAACAGCCGGTCTTGCTTTTAACAAAGATCCTATTGTTTGAGGTTCAAGACTCAGGCTCCCCCTAAGGCGGACCCCTTTATTTCGGGTTCCACACTCAATAAATAGTGGCTTATTTTGTCTTGAGGGGGAGGGGGTTGCACATGATAGGGGTTGTATACTATAGTAGTTCTACACGACAGGGCTCCTAAACCCTAAACCCTCGGAGCCCCAAGGCATCCCCTATGTCCTGAAAGATGTTTCCGAGTAGCAGAAGCCAGTCGCTGGCCCAGGGCGCCGTGAACGAGAGGTGGCCTTCCTCGGTCTCAGTCTTTGGACATACGGTTTTTTTAGGGTTTAGGGTTTATGGTTTAGGGTTCCGGGGTTCAGGGTTCAGGGTTTAGGGTTTAGGGTTCCGGGTTCGGGGGTTGAGTGGACGTTTGGGATTTTTTTGGTTGAAGGCCTTTTGCTGCCTGCAGGTTGCATAGCGTTCCCGCCAGGCTTCAGGGCTTGGGGCTTTAGGAGAGGTTTGGGGTGTGAGATTTAGGGTTTAGAGTCTAGGGGAGGTTAAGGGGTTAGGGTTTGGGTGGGGTTTGGGGTTTTGGGTTTTCTGGCAAAGCTTCGGGTTTAGGCTTTAGGGTTCGGCGGGAGGCTTGGGATTTAAGGAAGTTTGGTAAAACGAAGTGAGTGTAATGCCCGAGGCCTCAAGCGCAAGATGTCCGGGGGCTAGTTGAGTTGCAAGCTCTAGCTGGTTCCAGCTCAAGTTGAAGGAAGCACCGGGTATGACCCGAACGACTCCTTTCTCAGGGACCGCACGATCCGAAACCCTCAACCCCGAAACACAGAGCAGTGCCCCGAACAGCTGCTGGCAATCTTAACGTACCCCCCAGAACTTCTGGACCGTGGATCCGTCCGACCAGCCCGCAGTGGTTGCGGAATAAGGCCCGGCTGAGGCAGGTCCAGAAACCTCGGCGTGCAACGTGCTTATGGTTCATGGAGGAGTCCCTCGACCCCAAAAGACCGAGCTGTTTCCCCAGGGCGCTGGCGCGGCGGCTTCCGCCTCTAGCTTCGCCACCCACTCCTGCGGCAGGAGGCTCTCAAGCACCACCTCGGATGGACAGTCTGTTGAAAACACGGAGGCCCTGAACCCTGAACTCTTAGCCGTAAAACCCCGGATGTGGCTTCTGCTGGCTTCGTTTTGCTGTTGGGGATGTGTCCTGCACCCCGTGGTTTCGAGAGGATGGACTCAGGAAAGATGCAACAACCGCCCCCGTAACCATACTAAGGATTTCATATGATACAACATATGACATATGATGAATGCAGATACGCCCCGATCCTCAACAAAGGTTCGTTATTGTTATTGCCGTTATTGCATAAGCTTCAGATTGAAGCAATAGCCGACAATGTCAGACATGTTCGCGAGTGCAACGCAAGCGTCGAAGGAGTCAGTAATATTATTGAACAGAGACTGTATCCGAAACAGAATAGCAGCGAAGAGTAAAAACGCGAACCTCCCAAACGGCTTGAGGCCGGGAGATCCTTTAGGGGCTCAAAGCTTCAAGTCCATCAACACCGGGTTGCAAAGCCATTGCTCTTCATCTTCTCCGTCGCCTCTGCAGCCATTCTCCGCTGCTCGGCCTCGTCCGCGTCCTCGAAGCCGGCGCAGGACCTGAAGCGGCGGAGCACCGTGAACTTGTCGGACCGGAGAGTCCGAGAGCCGACATCAATGATCACAAGAACAGTAATGACCAGTAATGACAATAACATACGACAACAATACCAATAATAGCAACAATGATGATAATAACAGCAATAATAATAACAATAAAAAACACACATAGTAACAAAGCTGAACGTCGTTCCCATGAAGAAACGCGGCCCCCAAATTCCCCGGAACACTAGACCTGCTGCCCGGAAGCACTACAAATTGGGCAGCGGCCGGAGAGCGGCACGGGCCATGGGTGTAGAATTTTGGCCGTCGCCTCGGCATCGGTCGTGTTCGGCCAAGGGCTGTGCAGGATTACTGCTGAAGATTTCTAGTCATGCCGCTTGCTCTCGTTGGCCACATGGGAGTTTCCGAACATTAAGGGTACCTTATTCTGGGGTCCTGATAATAAGGATCCTACTATTTAGGGTGCTACATTAGGGTCCCCTATTTTCGGAAACCCCCACATGGCGAATACTAAGAGCAACTCATATTTTTCAAAATCTAAGCTTAGTCCTTGACGCGGTTCCAGATATGCACACAAACAAGCCCGAGCCTTCCTGAGATCCGAAACCCTCAACTACAAAAAAAAATGCAACACCCCAAAAGCTTCCCCCCCAAAAAAAAAAAAAAAACTGAAAGGAAGCTCGGAAGACTCCAGAAGAAACCCGTGGCTCCAAGCCGCGGAGATGTCTCGTTCTCTGCCCCGCCATCGCCAAAGGGCTTCAGCCCGAGGCGGTCAGCTTCCTCGGGGGACATCATGACGCCCACCTGTCTCGGGTCTTCTGGTCTTTCTTAATCTCAGTAATACGAAAGGAAATATCATGATAATGATGATGGCGAGGATGATGATCATGACGACGATGATGATGAGGATGCTGATACTGATAGTAGCAAAAAACCGAGAATACTGATCTTATTGATACGGACAAGAAAAGAACAACAATAATAATACCAAGAATAATGGTAACAATAATACCAATTAATAGTGGCCGGAAACCAACACCACCACACGGCAACGCCCGCAGCACCAGCAGCACCAGCAGCAGCAGCAGCAGCAGCAGCAGCAGCAGCAGCAGCACAACAACAACAACAACAACCAACCAACCAACCAACCAACCAACCAACCAACCAACCAACCAACCAACCAACCAACCAACCAACCAACCAACCAACCAACCAACCAACCAACCAACCAACCAACCAACCAACCAACCAACCAACCA